TATTATATTGTTGACAAACATTTGTTTTATAACATTATTTAAAGTTGTCCATATAATTAATTAATTAGAGAGTTCTGGTGACTTAATGGTAGGAAGTTGCTCTGTCAACAAAAAGGTAGAAAATTTGACTCCACCGCCAGCACTCTTGGTACCAGCAGCCAGGAAATTAAAAGATGAGTTGTTTTGGGAAAGTCAACTATCAGGGACCTCTCCAGAGTACTGAAAAGCAGTCTGGAGATAAAGATGTGCCTGATCCAGGCCATGGTCTCTGCAATTATTTGCTATGCATCAGAAGGCTGGACAATGACTAGGGATGATAGAAAGATAATTGATGCCTTTGAGCTGTGGTGCTGGAGAAGAGTATTGAATGTATCATGGACTGCTAGGAGAACAAACAGGTTTGGCCTAAAGAGAGTGAATTGGAGGCAAGGATTCTGAAGCTCTGTCTGACATATTTTGGACATGTTTCAATGAGTAACCAGCACCTGGAGAGGGACATCACGCTTGAAAGGGTGGAAAGACAATGCAAAAGAGGAAGACCCTCGATGAGATGGCTTGACTCAGTTATTGGGGTAATAGGGGTAGGTGTGTCAGAGACATTTAGATTGGCACAGGTTTCAGGGCTTTTGTACATAGGCTCGCTATGAGTCTCAAGAGACTTGATGACACATAACAACAGCAATACCTAGTAGTGGGTTGCTAGATCAAATAGTAAATGCTTCTTTAATATAATTTTTAAGAGGAAAAATAATAAAAAAGAAACCAATTTTATCTAAATTAGTGGCTTAAGCTTTTATGTTATTTCCTCTTCCCATCATTGTTACAGTCACAGCACCACGAATATATGTCTTGTTGTTGTTGTTGTTGTTATGTATTGTTGATTCGACCATAACTGATAGTGAACCTCTGAATAATGACTCTGAATCTTGCCCTGTCCTGAACCAAGCACTATCTCTGACACCCCAGACCCCATTGCCACAGTCAGTATGTCAATCCTTCTCATCTAGGGTCTTCCTCTTCTGTGCTGACCCTCTATCCTTCTAAACATGATATCCTTCTTCAGGGACTTGTTCCTGCTGACAACATGCCAAAAGAATGGGAGACAGGTCTTCAAAATCTTTATCTTCAAGGAGCAAACTGGTTTCACCGTCTCCAAGACAGACTGTTCTTGTGGTAGTCTGTGGTCGATACTCTTTTCTAGCACCAAAATACAAGGGCCTTAATTCTTCTTGTATTATCTTTATTCCTCTTCCAACTCTCAGATGTATAGCAAACAATTGAGTAGACCTCTATCAGGCATACCTTAGTCTCTAGACTGACATCATTCTTTTTTAACAATCTGGAGAGATCCTCAAAAACATATTTCTCTTAATGCAACTTGTCTTTTGATTTCCTGACTGCTGGTGACAAGAGTGTTGATTGTGGATGCAAGCAAGATGAAATAGTTAAAATTTTAATTCTTTCTCCATCTATTACTATACTACTTATTAGTCCAGTGGTGTGGTTCTTTTGGTTTTTGTTTGTTTGGTTTATTTTGGGGCTATGTTGTTGTTGTTGTTGAGATGTAATCATTCTTAGTCATTTAAATTGATTTTAAAGATAATAACCCTGTTAGATTTGCATCAATGATGTTTTGACTTTAACAGATTAGAAGGGGATTTTTCTTCTTCATTCTTAAGGTTTTTCTTTGATTAATGCTTTGAATTTAATCCTCAGATGATCAGAGAATTCTGCTGAAGGGATTAGACATGTTTGTTGTTGTAATGTGACGTTGAGTCACCTGCAACTCATAACGACCCTACATACAACAGCCCTAAACCCTGCTCTGTCCCTTGCCAAACTCACTGTCTCTGACACACCTACTTCCATTACCTTAGTCAATGAATCAATCCACCTCATAGAGGGTCTTCCACTCCTGTGCTTTCCTTCCACCCTCCCAAGCATGACATCCTTCTCCAAGGACTGGTCCTTCCTTGCAATATGTTTAAAGTAGGTCAGACTAAAGTTCAGAATCTTCACTTCCAAGGAGCAGCCTGGTTTAACCCTTTCTTGGACAAACATATTCATTCTCTTAGCAGTCTATGTTATATTCAATACTCTTCTCCAACACCACAGCTCAAAGGCTTCAATTCTCCTTCTATCCTCCTTAGTCATTGTCCAGCTCTCTGATGCATAGCAAGTGATAGCAAAGACCATGGCCTGTATCAGGCAAACCTTAATCTCCAGAGTCTAAAAAGACATGGCTGTAGAATTATGATTTACTAAAGTTTAGTTATAATTAGCTTATCTGTTGTTGTTAAGTGCTGTTGAGTCACCTGTGATCCCTAGCAACCCTATGTACAGCAGCTCTGAACCTGGCCCTGTCTTGATC